ATGCATTTGTTTTTTTCTCTAATGTTTTACAGGTCTCATTATTCATTAATTTTTTTTTTCCTTCTTTCCCAACGTTTTTAATTTTTCTCGAATTTTCCCACCATTGAGGAAACGCACCGGGGAAAGATCTGTACTTCAATTTTGAAGTACCCCTGGCCCCAACAAATACTTTAAGAGATATTTTTTAATTTTTTTTTCTCCAAAAAACATGGTTATATTTTACCATTTTGGGCGGGGGCTTCAGCCCGAAACCCCCCCCCCCCCGTAGATCCGCCCGTGACATGGACTGGTGGTATTGGCATCGAACCTTCGGGTTCGCTAAGCCTTATTTTATTGTTTTTGCAGAATAAATCTTTGTGAAGGTAAAATACAAACTGGTCATTATCTTCAAAATACACACATATTGAGTAATAATCATTCAACTTTATTGTATATATATATATATATATATATATATATATATATATATATATATATATATATACACGTATAAATGTGTGTGTGTGTGTGTGTGTGTAGAAATATATTATATTCATAATTCCAAGTCAGTGGATACTAAACAAGTGAATTTATATGTTGCCTTTTGAGCAAATTTCATAATTTCCTAAATAATTCTTATTCAATAATTGAATAATTTATACAACCGATTGTATCACTTTTTTAATGTATACACCGTTAGATACACGTAATTGCTTATGTACATACTTACTTCATAATTTAAATCTATAATACTGATAGTTATAAATAAATAATCATATTATTTATTTTTAAAACTATTTGATTAATTTACTTAATTGCTGTGTGAGACGCAAAAAGTGACACTTTTTAAGTATAATTAACAAAAAGGAAAGTAGTGAACAATTTAATCAGTTGACTGGCCAATCCTGTAGTATATATCCACTTATAGAAACTTAGTGTACACAATAATTTCATCCAATTAGTAACATAAAAAAAATTAAAAAATAAAATAAAAAACATCAAACTGCTTTAACTGCTTTCTCTGTTGGATTTCTTATACGTGAAACTACCCCGACAGATATCCACGTAATTATATATTTTGCATATTGGAAAACCGACCGCTGATTTCATATGAAGCTTTCTATTAAAAAATAACTGCGGAATAAATACCTACTTAAAAAATATATTTAAAATTAGCTGTTCTAGGCGGTGTTACCCATGTATTTAATTCTCAGAGATGATAATATATGAAATGTACATTCGGGAAATAACATCTGAATACTACCAATCACAAAAAAAACAAAAAAAAAACACTGCTGATATGACAAAAGCAGGATTTAAGATCTCCTTTATACAGAGTAAATATCTTTAGTGCTATTTTGAATTTGGTATAAGTATATGCTGGTTTCGTCCAATATCTGACCTATAAAAGACTACATTTACTTTTTTCGTGTAGGCAGTTTCCCTTAAGTCGATTCCAACATTCTTGCATTGAATCTTTAAATTACCGTTTAATTTTCTATTTAGGGATTCATTTATTAATAAATTGAATAGTCAGTAGCAACTTAAGTACTTGAGAGGATTTGATGACAGAAGAGTAAGTCATATTACATTACTTTTGTTCAGAAAGTGAATATTATTACCTTTATTTGAAAGTAAAAAATATTATCTTTCAACCAATAACTTATTAAGTAAGTCTGTTTGATTAAATCTGCACTTTGACCAAAATGGGGCAATCAACAAAATCTTGAAATTTTAGGAATAGCAGGAGGTTATACATTAATTGTTCAAGGAAATGTATATTCCACACTTGAATTGCTACTCAGTTATATTTATATATAATACCCATTACAAATCTTAAAAAACAATTTTAGTTTTAACCCAGGCATGCGTAGCTTGTAATCTGTGATACCGCTGAATTAGGCATTTGTTGTTCAAGGAGTTGTGTAATATTAGCATGTAGTATTATTAATGTAATGTTTTTGTATTACTCATGGAATTAATTTTTCAATATTAATATATAAATTAGAATGTATTGCAATTTATTATTAACTAATAAGCATCCATTGATAATGAAATGCTACATGATAATATGAAAGATCGGAGTGCTTAGTTAATATGAGAAAGGGGCTTGAACTTGAACTTAAGAACGTGTAAGCACGAAGCACAAGGTTGAAAGAGAGTCAAGTTGAAGGCACAACCTTAACCCGGTGACCTCCGCTCCTTCGGTTGGTACCCCTGACTCCTAATCGCCCAGTGATGTACATTATTAACTTTTTTTCTATCAATTCTTCCTCTATTTTCATCCTTCAATGACGGATATAATTTCCGTTTACTTGTTTTGTTTCTGATTTCGCGAATACGCGTTTGGCAACCAATCTCACAATCACGATGGAATTCACAGAGCTCGAAGAATCTAAGGAACTCAATAAATATGAATGTCGTCATACCTTAATTTTGATGCGAATTAATTATTTAATGTTAGTACGTGTTGGGGCCAGGGGTACTTCAAAATTGAAGTACAGATCTTTCACCGGTGCGTTTCCTCAATGGTGGGGAAAATTCGAGTGAAATTAAAATGTTGGGAAAGAAGGAGAAAAAAAATTAGTGAATAATGAGACCTGTAAAACATTAGAGAAAAAAACAAATGCATGCAAAGAAAATATTAAAAAATAGAAATATTCAATAAATAAAAAATGGAGAATAAAAAAAAATCCCCTTTTGAATGTTTACAAATTTATTGAGATAAAAGATAAAAAAAACAAATGAGAAGAAAAAAGATTATTCAAATGCAGTGAAATACAATATTTAGTGAAAAATAAAATAATTGTCCATCAAAAACAAATCATAAATAAATATCTTCAATAATAAAGATTAACTTAAGAGAGAAAAAAAATAACTTCAAGAGAACAAAATCAAATTTCGAGAATAAAATTAATCAAAAGGAAAAATTAACTTGAGAGTTCATTAAAGTTTAAATAATAATTTAGAGAGAAAACCCAAATTAATATTTAAATGTCGCATAGTGATGGTGAGAATAAAAAACGTTCCAAGTTGGAGAATCTTCTTCCAAAGACGTTACCTTGTACGATGTCAAGTCGATGTTGGGGAGTATCAAATCGATAGCCTGTCGATCGATCGTCAATCGCAGCGACGCGAAACAGCTGATGTTCGAAAATGGCGCTAGGTGAGATGTGATGAGTCTGGAATGGTGGGGGTAGACGTCTTCTACTATCTCGACAAAGGCTACTTCCAGACTGGCTTAAGACTGCATCCCGACAGTATTATGACATTATTTGTGTCTTAATCCCTAAGTCTGGGTATTACTGCCGGGCTGGTGTGTATACAAATGAGCGATAATACATCGCAAACGAAGGCAGATATACAAATAATACAAACACAAATATATTTCTGAGACAATAGTCCCTCAATTTTTACAAAAAAAAATAAATAAACATTTTCTTCATTAACATTAGAAAGGGTAAATATGGCGAGAGAAAAAAAAAAAGATTTGAACGTATGCGGCGTTAACAGTACGGATTTACACTTGAAAACAATTTGTCTTTTTTCATAATGTGTTTCTTAAGAATACGAAAGTATATATGAATGAAAAATGTAATTATCTACTTTGGTACCAACACTTACAATTCATACAGCATACAAATATTTAAAATTTTTCACTTCGAAAAAAAAATTAAAAATAAATAAAACCGAATTATATCAGTTAAACAGGTTGCTGTACCATAATTTATCGATATCTACGTGGCGATAAATAATTATTTTCAAAATTAAAAAAAATATATTTTCTTTAATTAATCAATATTTTAAAAATTTTCATACATTTATTTATAGATCACATAATATAAAAAAGATTGTCTTCATAATTAGTATTGATGAAAATATTTTTGATTTATTATTCCCCTCTTAAATCTTAAATTAATTCAATTATTTATAAAGTTATTAATTATTATACTATTATAAGAATAGCATTATGATTTAATATTCGAAAAACTTATTTTGTTTTTGGTTGTTAATATATCATATCTATATATCGTCATCCTAATCGTAAAACTATCTGTTCCGAAAATATTAAATTCCCTCTCTAGAGAAAACTGTTTGTAATTTTATATTTAATAACTTTATAAAAATACGTGTTGAACCTAATTTTATGCTGTTAAATATAAAGTAGAGTAAAGCGTTTTATAAATAATTTTATAAAGCAGGATTTTAAAAATTGATTATATAATTATAGGTATTATCTAGGAAACAACAATAAAGGGATGAAAAAAAATTGGAAAAATGAAATATAGTTATGAAGTTATTAATTATTTAGTACATTTTATTAAATTAATATTTTTAAATACTAATGAATAAAGTCATTAAACGAATGGTTATTAAAAGCCTACATATGCTTCATCCTTTTGCATTTATGATCATATCTCTGGACATTTCAAAAATCCTGAATTTTAAAAACGATAATTTATTTTTATGTCGTACTGTTTATGTATTTCTTATCCGAAATAGAACTAATTAGAGTTATTGGTTAGAACTCTAATTCTTCCATGCATTACTCAAAGAACTTTTAATTGCTTATTTAATAATTTATATACTCTTACTGTTAGTGTTGCCCAAAATCGGTATTGGTCTTGCACTTTACAAGACCAAGACCGCCTAACTGTTGCAAGACCAAGACCAATACTGGTAAAACAAAATTGATCTTTTGAATAAAAATTAAGGCAAAATAATTACTAATAGTTGACAATTTTACTTATTATATGCAAAGCATTGGTACAAACAACATACTTTTGTATTTAGCTCTTCTAATTTTTCATTCTGGCTTAGTTAGGTTTCTCCTCTCTAAAAAATTACAGTAATATCTCCATAGTAATAAGCTAATCGATAACTGCAAGACTTGCGAGAATCTTGCCCAAGACCAAGACCAAAATGAAGACTGAGTTTCAAGACCAAGACTCGTCTCGGTCTCGCATTTGGGCAAAACTACTTACTGTAAATGTACCAATAACCAATGATTGAGAACTTACCATCCCATACATCGACATCGATAAGAGCGATGTTGATTGGTATAAACTTGCCAGTCCGGATCATGGCGTCTCGAGCGACGAGACTGGGAAAAGCGTAGTCTACGGTCCTCCAGCTGTGGACGACGTCCATGTGTGCATTGGCGGTGGCCAGCAAGGCCAACATTATCCACACCGCAGCCTCCCTCCCCATCTGCAACAGGAATCAAAATATATTGTAAGATAGATTTCGATATATGTATTAATACCTTCAGGAATAAGGTATAGGTCAACACTTAGATTATAGGATTTTAGTTAGAAATAGAAATAGAAATAGAAAACCATCTTTATTCTGGGACTAGGTCGGTTACAGTATTATAATATTGGTAGAAAAAACAACAACATACTTATAACTAAATAAAATTGGAAAGAAATGCTAAGTAAGTTTTATAGGTAACCAATTTTAGTGCTATAATATAACAAAAAAAAAAAAAAAAAATAAGAATAAAAGAAAATAACTAGAATAAATAAATGATTTATATATGATCCTTAAGACGTTTAAGTTAAAACATGTGAGGTTATTATAAAAAAGTAGACAATTATTGCAATAGATTACGAACAGAAAAAAAACAAAAAAACAAACACACACACACACACACACACACACACACACACACACATATATATACACATACCCACATAGAGAGGAGAGTGCAGAAGATAAGTAAAAAATAAAATACACTTCAAAAAAATACACTCTTATGAATAGAAAAGATAACAAAAACAATAAAAAATTATACCTACTAAGAGAGTTTCAAATGTGGATAAGGATGGTGCATGGCGGATTTTTAATGGTATGGAATTCCATAATGCAGTGGAACGGCTAACAAAGGAATGTTTAAATGAGGCAGATTTGTGTAAAGGAATGTAAAGGTCAGAAGGACGTGATCTTGTGGAAAGGGTGTGGATTGATGATTTGAATTGTAGGAGATTGTATGCGTAGGACGGATGATGATTATTGATTATTTGGTAAAGGAATGTTCCCAGGAAATATTGCCTTCAGAAGGAAGGGAAGAGCCACCCTAATTCAGCATAGTGGTGAGAAATACGGGAACGTCTCGGGGTACCAGTGACAAATCTTACGAAGGCATTCATAATCCCCAAGTTCCACCGAGAGGCCACCGTACACCACGAAGCCGTAATCATGGTGGGGAAAGATGAGCGACGATACTAGGAGTCTACGTGTGGGTATAGGTAGGAGATGACGGAAGCGATGAAATGTGAGCAATATGGTGATTTCAGGAGAGGGTTCAGTCTATGAAAATATTTCACTGTGGAGCTGAAGGTGATGGGATGGTCATTTAGGTATATGACAGGAATGTTGGTATTGGATCTAAGAAGTGGTTTGGAACCAATTACAATGAGTTTTGGCAGCGTTTAATCTTAGTCCATTTAAGTTTGCCCAAGCAGATTTAAGTCTTCTTGAATTTTGGCAAACGCATCCTGCAACTATGAGAGAGGGAAAGAAAAATAAATTTGGGAATCATCGGCATGTAGGTGATGGGAACAGTGCAGGAGGGATTTATGAAGGTCATTGATGTAGGAACTAAAAAGAAGAGGAGATATGCTAGAGCCCTGAGCCACTCCTGAAGTCAGAGTAAGATAGGAAGACAAAGATTGATTGGGAATAGCGACTGCTTGGGTGAGTTGAGAAAGGAAAGATTGAAACCAAAGGATAGAACTGTTAGAAAAGGTTAATGATTTTAATTTGGAAAATAGGATGGAATGGTTTATGATATCAAAGGCTTTGGAAAAGTCTATAAAAACAAGGACAGTTAGTTTTTGGTCATCTATGGCGGATTAAGCATCACTAATGAAAAATTAGGGTAGATAATGTAATGGATTGGTCGAGGATGATTATAAGATATTGCTTATAACAGCAATTGTTGAAGTTCCTGAACTCCAATAAAACTACCGACATCCGAAAGAAGTGAAACAGTTCTCTACGCAATATATTAGATTAAAAAAAACTACTAAATCAAATATACGGAGAAAGATATAAGTATTAAAGATAAATTATACAGAGTGTCCCGTAAGTAAAGAGAAATATTAAAAAGGCTAAAGCAGAAAGAAAATTTGTTTTATGTTTTTTTAAGTATGGAATTTTGTGTTGAATAGGAACGGTTATAAACAAATATTTAATTTAACTGCTTAATAATTGCTTCACAGTAAACTAGACCACATTTACATCAAATGAAAGTAGACTTTGTCATTGCCAAAACGATTCAAAAAGGACATTTGAGCTACCAAACTAAGCTAATTTTTTCTAAATTATGAATCATTCGCGACTTATTTAGTTTTGTAAAGAAATAATTTGAAAGCCATATACCTGATACAGCAAAAAATGACTACAATAAATTATTTCAATTTTAATTTGGTTTTTTTCTTTTTTCAATAACCTGAATATTTTATAAGAAACATAATTACATAAATAAACAAAATAATTTATTTTAAATGTTAAGTTTAAAAAAAAAAAAAAAAAGCCTATGCAACTATCGCTCACAATTGCTTTTTAGTAGGTTACAAAATCTGGTTAACCCAAGGGCACATAACTTTATACCAGTAAACAAGTACAAACTTCTAAATTAAAGATATAGTATTTATACAATACTGTAGAACCTTTAATTAAGAAATTATTATTTTTTAGGTCAATGAAACAGCTCATAGTGTACGGGATATGGTAAATCATTGGCAGTTATAGATGATTACATCCTGTAGTTTACTGAATCTTTAACAGAAATGAAAACTAAACGAAACGGAAAAATTCTTTATAATATATTTTTTATTGAATAATGAGTTTATATTAATAATTTGCCGCTGGGTATAAGGTTTCTAAGTACATTAATAAATTACTTTATATTTTCGGAACAATTCAACCCATAAAGATTGAAGATTATTCACTAATTTAACTTATTAAAAAGTTAATTATTTAAATTTTCTTTTTTTCTTACCCTCCAAAATGTTTATTGAAACAAATTACATATATAGTATACAATATACAATATATACATGTGATAAATTCCTTCCACTGCCCGAGGGCATTTTAAGGATTGGGGAACTATATTATTTAAATTTTTTTTTTTTTTTCTTACCCTCCAAAATGTTTATTGAAACAATTACATATATAGTATACAATAATACAATATATACATGCAATAAATTCCTTCCACTGCCCGAGGGCATTTAAGGATTGGGGATAGCTAAGGGTTACATATGTGGCAGAAGGCCTTGTGACTTTGACATTGAACGGGGAAGGACCGTTCTGCTAATTTTTTATTATTTACAATATATACAAATTAATGGGTTTGGACCGCAGAGACCAGACCACATCCTTCGGCGAGTATGTCCACCAAAGGGAGTTTACCTTGCCACCCCAGGTCTGGGTGGTGGTGGTGAGATCTCATTGAACAGTGGGTTTGCACAGGCCTTCAGCCCATCAAAAAATTTGATGTGCCTCCGGCCTATGAACTCAGGTACCGAGGGGAGCTGGAGCTCCTCGCGTATTGTTTGATTTTTAGCCCTTTGTAGGGTGGTGCCACGGACAATTCGCCGAAGGATAGAGTTCTGGAAGCCCTGTAGACTCGTAAGCGTCGATTTATATAGGTATCGCAGGAGAGGGGCCCCGTGGAGCAGTGTTGGATTTAAATTTTTTTTTTTTTTTTTTTTTTTTTTTTTTTTTTTTTTTTTCTTACCCTCCAAAAAGTTTATTGAAACAATTACATATATAGTATACAATAATACAATATAAACATGTAATAAATTCCTTCCACTGCCCGAGGGCATTTTAAGGATTGGGGATAGCTAAAGGTTACATATGTGGCAGAAGGCCTTGTGACTTTGACATTGAACGGGGAAGGACCGTTCTGCTAATGTTTTATTATTTACAATATATACAAATTAATGAGTTTGGACCGCAGAGACCAGACCACATCCTTCGGCGAGTATGTCCACTAAAGGGAGTTTACCTTGCCACCTCCAAGGTCTGGGTGGTGGTGAGATCTCATTGAACAGTGGGTTTGCACAGGCCTTCAGCCCATCAAAAAATTTGATGTGCCTCCGGCCTATGAACTCAGGTACCGAGGGGAGCTGGAGCTCCTCGCGTATTGTTTGATTCTTAGCCCTTTGTAGGGTGGTGCCACGGACAATTCGCCGAAGGATAGAGTTCTGGAAGCCCTGTAGACTCGTAAGCGTGGATTTATATAGGTATCGCAGGAGAGGGGCCCCGTGGAGCAGTGTTGGTCTTATAACAGCTTTATAAATTTGGAGCTTGAGTCTCAGCGAGAGCTGCGGCGACGTCAGTAGGTGGTAGAGCCGGTGCGACTTCTTTCGTGCCAGCTTGATCCTCTGCCTAACGTGATTGGAGAAGGTCAAATGTCTATCTAGCGTGACGCCGAGGTAGACAATCGAGGTAGAAATTTTATGATAAACTCCTCCAACGGTGAATTGTGTGGGTAGATGCTTCTTTCCCTTCTGAAACGACATGACAATAGCATCAGTCTTCGCAGGATTCACTCTGATACCGATCTCTTCTAGCTCTTCAACAATTGTGGCTGAAGCATTCTGTGCCAGAGTGAGTGCAGTCTCCGCGTTGATGCTGGAAGCATATATGCCAATGTCGTCCGCATAGGCTGCTACCACCGCCTTTGGATGCTTGAGTGCCACCACTGGCGCCGTGAAAACGACGAACAGTATTGGCCCCAACACAGACCCTTGAGGTACTCCGCAGGTGGTATCGACTGGGTTTGAGTAGTCTGTACCAACTCGTACGACGAGAGATCTTCCGCTGAGGTAGCTTCGGATCAGTCGGCATAGAGTGGTAGGAAACCTGAACTCTTCCAGACGGCGAAGTAGATGCGTGTGTGACACGCAGTCAAAGGCCTGACTGCAGTCCAAAGAGATGAGCGCCGTAGCTCTGTTGAGACTCATTTCATCTATTGTGTGGGTCTGAAGTTTAGCGAGGTGGTGTTCACACGCGACCCCTCTCTGGAAACCAGTCTGCTCTGGAGGTATGATGCTCTCTTTCCAGCAGTGCTTCATAAGCTGATGGTGGATTAGCCTCTCGAAAATCTTGCTGATGTGCGAGAGGAGGCTGATCGGACGATAGTGCTCAGCTGAGTCCCCATTCTTCGCCGGCTTGAGTAACGGTACAACGAT